ACAGACTGTGCTCATGGTTACAGTATATTGGATATGAAGAAGTTCAAGTAGGCGTCACACCGGAAGAAAGCTCCCCAACCAAAACATTGTGTTTCTTTTCTGCAGGGAATAAACCTTTACTTGTTCCTTTGTACGTCGGATGTGCCTGACAGAATGACATATTATATTAGGTGTTCTAAATGCACTTTCACATAAGTACTGTATACGCAGTGCAGATGCACTTCTGAAAGACAGAACATTGGTTGTGCTTCGTCTGGATAGTGTTAAATGAATATTGTCTTCACCAGGTCACGCACAGAGTTCAGTTCGCACAGAGTTCAGTTCACACAGAGTTCATATACAAAGTTGTTCTCTTATGTGATTTTATGCCAGCGTCACTATTTCCTTGTGGCACTTTAACTGCATTTCTTGTGCGCTGGAAAGGCAATGCAGCTGTGAGGTGTGATTGTTACTGCCTCCTCCTGTGAGAGGATGGCCTCCACCGATGTGCGTTTTCTTTTGGTGTTAGTCTTCTATAAAAGATATTCCCTTAAATACTGCCGGCAAAAAAATACATCCGCGTCATCAGTGTCGGGTCTGTTTGATCTTTTCTGAATTTTTTGTCAACTGAACTAATTGTGGATGTTGTGTTGTTTTTCCTTGAAGTAAAAGCTTGCGGACGGTCTTTAGGTGTGCTAGCGGTTGCCAAGGCAATTCTGCAGCACTCTGGTTGTGACGGGTGCTTTATGAGCATCTTTAGTTTTGCTTGGTTCAGTCTTCCAGTCGTTTAATATGTAATTTTAACATGCTGCTCTGTAAAGCTGACATTGACGTCTCTGTTTTTTTTTTTAGATAATGTGCTGTGCTGGCTTTCAAGTAATGACGACGAACAGAACCAGAGCAAAGAAACTGAGATATTTAATTAAAATGCTGCGTGTCAGATTTAGGAAGATATTGTGAACCAACATTTCAGAAGCATTTCTTCTGAAATACCAATAACATTTTTCTTTACGTATTGATTACTTCTTTCTATTACCAGATTTTTTTTAAATTCTTTACAAAAATCAAGTTTTCCTAAAGCCATGGTTAAAGCATACCTCGGCGCTGTTAACATTTCTTGTGTCTTAACGAAGAGGCGTTGCAAGCTTCAGAGTTCTAGCATCCCAGGTGACCCGAAAGGGACACTTTGCTGCGCTGTGTGCACTGGTGCAGTTGGATCCACTGTCTTCACTTCCATTACAGGCTGGCAGTGCTTGAAGTCTGAACTGTGTGTGTGTCTCCGGCTGCTCCCTGCCATGAGTCATGATCTACGGGTGATGCTGACTTGGCATTACGGAGCTTGTTTTTTGCTAATATCCTTGCCTTGTTAAATCGTGCTTAGCAGCTTAATAGGCCATACCTGCATGAAGGGAGGAGAGCTGCTGTTATTTCTCATTAATCATGTTTCCCAGGATGGGTTCCGGAGATCTAACAAGATGTGAATTGTTTTTAATTCCCTTCATTAAAGTTGCGGTTGCAGTATTAACACCATCTGTTTAGACGCTGTTCCTGGGATATTTAAAGTGGAAGGTGCTAGCAGATACAAAGGCCTCGAGACCCCAAGGGAATCTGCCGATATGGATGACAGCTTTACCTCGTCGTTCAGTCCTGCAGTGAAAATCGGAAGGGAAATCGGTGGAACTGGCAGCAGTTCTATAATAAACCTTTATATAACCTGGCGGACTAGTTGAGAAAATCTCGTTTACAGTGTCAGCTTGGAAAACACAGCAGCAAAAAAACAAAAACAATAATTAATACAATGTAAATGACGGAACGTAACAGGACTTGGGAAGGGTTAACATGAGGAGTGTCAAGCAAATATTGACTTAGCCATACAAGTGAAAATACCCTCTGCTAACACAGCTGGATAGTTTCAGCCCACTCGGTAGATTATTCCAGTCTTGTTGTCCAGCCATTTAATTGATGTTAATTTCATTAAAGATCAGTAGATTTGACTCAAGTGAAGGATTCTTACAGTATGCTCAGATGGCCAATCAATCTATCAAGGACTAAATAGATAGAGGACTCCTGTGATAAATCTTCTGGCAGAATGATATAAGCCATCGTTTCCCAAGATTAGCAGAATCAGCAGAAGGGACATTTTAACTAGTTTTTTGCGTAGAGGAACATGCAAAACACAATCTGTTGAGATAAAGGAATTTGTTATTTTGAGTTTTGAAAGCTGAAGTACAATCCAGTCTGGTTCCCAGATGTTTAGAAACCTTTACTTGCTCCAACTTGATCTTAAAGTAAAAATTTATTTTTTGTTGTATCAGGTTTGATATACAGTCCAGTACAATATGGTATGTTCCAACTGTATGGAACTTATTTTCAGACATTTTTGTAGCTGTTAAACTTTGATATTTTCAATATAAATTAAATTTGAAAAATTTGTTTAGAATTTTTTCTTTCTATTCAGTATGGACATGATGTAAAAAACATGTTTAGGCCCTCAAAACCATCCTTAGCAGTTTATATATTGCACATTCTTCATTGATGTTATTGACGAAACAAGACTGCTGCAAGTGCAGTCATTTGCGATGCCTGTATCATAATTATTGATGGATAACGTAGATAACTTTAAGCACATTTAAGCATTTTAATAATAAAAACTGCATGAAAACATTCTAAATTCTAATTTTCATATTCATGTTTTATCCATGAATGAAAACCGGCTTTCACCATAAGTGAGTTACTGCTAAAGCACTGTGCTGTGACACCTAGCAACCCATTCGCGTTGCACTTGGGAGCTAAAAAGAGATTTTAAATCAATGCAAACATACTTAAAAAGGTCAATTCTATGAGTCATTAATACTGTAAATGCATCTCTATATTAGTATTCTTTTCTTAGTCATATTATTAATATATTAAATATGAATTCATATTGTGAGCTAACAGAAATAAATAAAGCATTTTTTCATTAGAAATATTAATTTTCAAAATGAATTCATTTAAGTGTACCACATCTAATTCATCTTTTAAGGTTTAATACTGTAGCTGTATTAAACTGTATATGAAAAAGGCTTTACCATGGAGTGCTGGATTTATTGTGTTACCACTGTTCTGTTTCCGGTTCGTCAGAGGCCATAGACAGTCGCACTGCTCTATCATCGTCATGTATGGCCTCTGACGAACCGGAAACAGAACAGTGGGAACACAATAAATCCAGCACTCCATGGTAAAGCCTTTTTCACAGCTGTGGGTATGTTTTTGTGTTTTCCAAGTTTAATCTTTAATTGTTGTGACCGTGGCCAGTGTTTATTTGGGGGGGGTTCAAGCCACTTCACATAAACACACAACTAGTTCAAGTAGCTACTGTAGCTGCGTCAGCACGTGCAGGCTGCAAAGGAACAAGTTAAAGGTTTATTCCTGCTGAAAAGAGAAGAAAGGAAACAACATTTCAGCTGTGAAGCCTTCTGTTGTTTCTTTTCTCTTCAGAATGGAATAAACCTGTATTTGTTCCTAAACACACAACTGACTCACTTGAAGCCAACTTATGTTTACAAATTGGTGAACCCCCCCCCCCCCACACACACAGTTACACACAGCACTAGCTTTACTGCCAAACACTGCTGCTGTGGAGCCTCCCCACACAGCTCTGCCCCCCTTTTCCACGTCCATAGCAATGGCACCACATCTGCATCCTTTTCTTTACCCGTCTTCCTGTTTATGGGCAAGCCAACATGAAAACCAGCCAGCCAGGACCGCTGCTCTCGTTGACATTCAAAAGGTCACACGGGCTGTTCACTCGCTCACCCTTCTGGGCTTTGAGCTCTCCGTTTTCAGCTGCCTGTTGCGACTCATGCAAGCGAGGGCCCGACTCCCCTGAGCCTCCCCCGCGGACTCCATGACTCGCTGCCACACCTGGTAGTGAGAGTCTGATTCCCCAGAGTCCAGCAGGACTGCTGACCCCCTGCACTGTACTGTATATAAGGAAACTGGCTGCACACAGCTGGCGCCCATCCCCTGATCCCCTCGCTTCACCCCTGGGGAGTCTTCGCCCTCCTGGCGCACTGCTGCATAAACGCACCAGATGAAATCCAAAAATGTTGCAGAGAGAGAGAGGGGAAGCTGGATTCGCGGTCAGACCTGTTGTCTTATTCTGCTGTCACCGTGTCAAGGATGCCCTGTGGCAGGAGTCTGTGCTGGCATCACCTGTGGTGAACTTTGTTTCCTAGAATGTGAGCACAAGAGGAGTCTAGACTTGGGTTCGACCTGGGATAGAAAATGTTCATCCAAGGCCGAATATTCTCTGAATATTCGATAATATTCAGTGGTGTACCCAAAGATTGAACTGTATTATTTTGTTGATCAAGTAAAACTACAATTGGGAGCTCATCACAAGTTCACATTTTTTATTAGTACTGTCCTGCAGATCTTTATTTATGTTTATTCAGCATAATGTTTTTTCCTTCTTGAGCATATAATTTTTATACCAATCACATTCTGATGCTTTATGTCAGTACATATTAACTTAAAAAAACTCTTTCTGTAGCTATAGAATGAACTCTGAAGTCCAAGGTGTTTTTTTCTTACTACCCTTTCAACCATGTACAGTGTCCAGGACTGTGAAATCAAGTACTGTTTTATCCATTCCAATACCATAAATGGTAGCAACTGAATTTGGGTGATGTTTTAGTATTACACTTTAAAAAACTGCAGTGGGCTGAATTGATCTACCTTAAAAATAGTGATTCTGTATTTTTTTTCTCTTCACTTCAGTGCGGTGTTAATTTGTAAGACCACATATTGTGTGGTATCACTTCAGTTTTCTTTGATGAGGAGCCCAAAATGACAGTCTGGCAAGTAGCAAACATGTTTGTAAAGTAAGAGTCGAGAGACACAAGAATGCAACATACTGCTCAAGTATTTTAGTTTTTTTTGTAGGACTTGTTTAATTTTGAAAGCTTGGGTTCAGTGCTCATGGTTGAGAATGATCTGTGTATTTGCAGTTTCTTCTTAATGTTCTGTGCTATCTGCAGATCACACCTCTGTGGGAGGACTGGGCGACAGCTTCTATGAATACTTACTAAAAGCCTGGCTGATGTCAGACAAAACTGACAATGAAGCAAGAACAATATACGATGATGCCATTGAGGTGAGTGTACAGGCATGTCTGACATGCGCAGTGTGTGTGTGAAGGTTATGATCTCATGTGTTTCGTGCTAATGGCTTTTCTGTAGGGAAGTCACATTGCTGGGCTGGGGGCATGTTTGATGGGCTTTTTTCACTAATGTATTTGCAAAGTGCCATAAAGGTCTTGGAGACTCCTGCAGCTTGAGCATTCAATTAGATTTGTGCAGACAGAGCAGCACGCTCCTTTCTCCATTAACATCCTGCACACTTCTTCAATTCCGTCCTACTGTGAAGAAAGCAGAAGCTCTTCCTTGTTTTATTATTTAGCACTTTGCCTTCTGCTTGCATCATGGTAGAAATGGAAATAAATTAAAGGAACTTTGCAAATTTCAGCTTATGAGAAATCGTTTTCTTGACAGTTTTTTTTATGCATATGGATCTTATATTGCATGCACATTTTTTCCACCTCTTCCATGAAAGAAGAAGACATACCAAATTCAAAACAAACATGGCGAGAAAAAGTCTACACAGACCGCACACCAGGTCTGGAACTGAACTCAGGGCCCAAACGCAGAGAGGTAGCAATACTACCCACTGCACTGCCATGCCTCCTATTCTAGAAACAAAGAACACCGAGAAGTTGTAGGACAACAGTTACTTCTGTGCTGAGAAATCTTAGAAAACAGGGCAAAACACCATTGCTCAGTTAGGTTAAGGGCAGTCATTTTGTAACTTTTTAAACTAACTTATGTGCTATTTGCTATGTGAAAAGAGAGCCAAGTGTTTTCTAGTTTTTCACATGCAGGGCACGGCGGGCAGGTTTTACCTAGGAAAGGGTTCATTGAGGATTCATTGAGAGGCCGTTCAGCCATGCAGCTCCTTGGTTTTTCAGTAGCTAGGATAGTCAGTCCAACACCCCTTCCAGATGGGGTCTGTGCTTCTGTTTTGGCCTCAGCAGCGTGCTGGGCTGTGTTTCAAACCGACGGCAGCAGGAGGCACCAGAAACCGCGGGTCACGCCCCTTATTCCTCAACTTGCCTCCCCGCAGGCTATCGAGAAGCACTTGATTCGGAAATCGAACGGGGGGCTGACCTTTATCGGGGAGTGGAAGAACGGCCACCTGGAACGGAAGATGGGCCACCTGACGTGCTTCGCAGGCGGGATGTTTGCTCTGGGGGCCGACGGCTCGCCGGGGGACAAGGCAGGGCACTACCTCCAGCTGGGCGCCGAGATCGCGCACACCTGTCACGAGTCCTACGACAGGACAGGTGAGACCCACGCGGAGCCCCGCCCGGTCTGTGAGAGCGATATGACCCGGCACGACGCGCGTTCGGCACTTTCACGTGCTGTCCTCCTTTTAATCCTAAAAGGTTAAGATTCTGACTTGGATCATTTCTGAACTCTACAGCTGTTGTACAACAGATAAGTCACTGTGGTGACAAGGGTCTCTGTTACCCTGCTTGATCTATATTTATAATTGTATCAATAATAGGAAAATAGCATTGCCAATAGTAAATGTAATGTAAATGCTAATTAACCCCAGGATCTTGTCTAGCCATTTGCTAACAGAAGACATCAGCCTGAACAGTCGGGCTGGGTACCTCGTTTTATACTCTACAACCTCAGGCTGGGACCTTGTGTATTCGTCCCACCTGAAAGAATCACTTTCTGAGTGCAGAGCCCTGTCTCCCTCTGAGGTGAGAGGGCTCTCTCACGGAGGTGCTGCTGTGGGGTTTTGCCACCTGCAGTTTTCATAGTCCCACCTCCAGCTGCATTTCTATTGAAATCAGAAAGGCTCCTAACTTCTGAGATCTAATAAGATCATGTTTTAAGGCAGCATACAGTCTGTTCCAGCTATTGCTGTTTGTAGCCATGTTATCTGCAGTCAGATGTGGTCATGTTCCTGGCTGTTGTGAGTGTCATGGTGCCATTGAGTAAATCTGCACTGATCCAATGGCAGCGGATTTACTGCCTTTTAATGTGTTACCACAGGTGGCCCCAACTGTCATAGCCTTACAATGCTCGTAATGAGCACCGTATTTACCTGGTTTCTACAGAGCTAACATAGTATTAACACTTCCTTGAGAAGTGTTGGGCGGAGCGGTGTCTCTGTGGCTCAGGATCTGCGCCTGTGGCTGGAAGGTTGCCGGTTCAAATCCCGCAGCCGGCAGAGGAATCCTACTCCCTCGGGCCCCTGAGCAAGGCCCTTAACCCCAGCTGCTCCAGGGGCGCTGTACAATGGCTGACCCTGCGCTCTGACCCCCAGCTTCTCTCCCTGTCTGTGTCTCATGGAGAGCAAGCTGGGGTATGCGAAAAGATGAATTCCTAATGCAAGAAATTGTATAGGGCTAATAAAGCAACATTAAACATTAACAAAAAAAGAAGTTCAGCAATGAAACATTGAATTTTTGCCCGTGTGTGTTTAAAACTTTTTTGCGCTTTTTTCTATCGTAGTGTTAAAGCTGGGTCCAGAGGCATTCAAATTTGACAGCGGTCTGGAGGCAGTCGCAGTCAGACAGAATGAAAAGTACTACATTCTGCGCCCTGAGGTGATCGAGACCTACTGGTACATGTGGAGGTTCACACACGACCCCAAATATCGTCAGTGGGGCTGGGAGGCAGCACAGGTAAAGTCAGTTCTGTGTTAATGGCAGTGTTGGACCTGAACTGGTAATGTTTTGTTCCCTTCAATTTTAAGTCTCTCACTATGTGTTGCCCCAAGGTTGTGCATGCCCACTGTAAGTGGTTTCGTGATTCATGATGAATTATCCTTCTCATTGAGGTAATGCTGAGACAGTAGTGCCAACAGAACGAGACTGCTTTCCGATATCTTGCTGATCAAAGCTCAAGATAAAAAAGACAAGAGAGCCCAAGGATATATCATGCCAAAAGCATTCATTTAGCCAGGACATGGAGAATATTTGAAATCTTGTTTGAAAAATCTCTTTGTTAAATGAATTGGCTTTATGTGAGTATTGGTTGAAATGTATTCTTCCAGTCCTCTCTTTATTGCGGTTTAATGAACTTTTTCTATCAGCAACAATTTGAAACATTTGAAACATGATCTAATAGCTCAGCAGCATGAATTTAAAAGCGACCCTCCCACAGTTATTTCCAAATGCAGTAAATATTATCTTCTTTAAAAATCTGATTTTACCTGGAGGAATCAAAATACCATACGCTAGGCTAGAAATTGCCTTTGAAAACGATGAGTACTTTAATTTTTCTGAACATTTAGTTTTTCTAATCGTGGTTTGCAGTTCTACTGGCAGTTTCACAGAGTCGAACATCTGTGAATTTGCAGATGAAATGCTTTTTACAGGTAACAGTTTTACAGTATAGAGGTCAAACTGGGGAATCAGAGAAACAGATGTTTGAACAAGCAGCTGCTTCATTCGTGTATAACAATGTAAAATAAGACCACAAAATGTGAGAGGACACTTTTCTTTTGTGTATCACCAGGTACAGTACTTGTTCTCAATTCACAGTGCCTGGTTTCAGCAGTGGCAGATATCTCTGTGAAAAAAAAACAAAAAAAATTGCATCTCCGAGGGCCAAATAGATGGATGTACTTAATCCAATCAATAATTGAATTAGTACTAATTAAGTATAAACCGTTGAAATGGCATTGTATAATTACAACATGTTCTTTTCAAATCAAATATTTTTATTTATAATGTGAAACCTACTGAGGCAGGCTGTCTGCAGCTTTCCCAGTGTCTTTGTATCTAAAGAGATAATGGCGTGTGCTCCCTTCAGACGGGCCCCTCTCAGGCTGAGATGTGTGTGCTTGCACAGCGCAGGTGGTCCCAAAGGGTCACAGGGCCGAGCAGGTGGAGAAGTGACACCTGTGTCGTTCAGCACCTGGGTTCCAGGGGCGTTTACCACCGCCCGGGCTGTGCAAGCCCAGAGGGGCACTCAGCCAGGACACCTACTCTCCCGCTCGGGTCTGAGGGTGGAGCGCCACCTACTGATCAACCAGCACCACTGCCGTCCGCCTCTCCTTAGAGGTCTCCACCATACAGGAGCAGTGATAAAGGACTGCTTTGTGCCACACAGGGCTACTTGCATTTGACCGTCTGTGTCTTTTCTCAGCTCCTCTGAGATTAATACCAGCCGGTAATATCTCACATCTCACTGCCATCAGTACCCAGGTTTAAAAGCCTTTAGTAGTCAGAAAAAGAACGATTTGTTTAGCATCTAATATGCTGTACTGTAGGGTGTAAATCAATTCAGAATGATGTCAAATATAATTTAAAAATAAGGTCCTGGCACCATTTTGAATGCAACCACTTATTAAAAATTAAATATCCCATCTGTACAACATCTATCAGGGAATATCAGACTTTTTTATGTTCTAGAAACAGTGTTGATGGTGTAGAAATCAAGTAATAGACACTAGCCTGTCAGGGAACACACATTACTTATCAGACCATTCCACACCTACAGCAAAACCTGAAGAGCTGCTGTTGAAGACGGGAGACGTTTTCAGCTACTGCATGTGCAGAACGAGGCAGAGTGAAGGCCTGAGAGGCAAAGGGGTGTCAGACAGATGAGCGAACGTGAAAATGGGAAGGGTTGCATAAAAAGGTGGCTAAACAGGTTAATATCTGGAAGACAAAGGCGGTATCCCATTAATGAATGGAGAGGTTTAGAAAGCAATTAGTTGATCCTGAGAGCTGAGTGTGAGCTTAATGTCAGGCCTGTGGCTTCTGATAGAGTAAGATTCTTTGAATTTGTGTAAAAGGACACAGAGAGAAACAGGCAGTGTAATCGTTGCCAAGGGGAAAGATGAAAACTATCACTGTGAAGGGATCTTTGATCCTCCTCGCTAAAATTACACGTTTAGATTTTCAGTGAGCAGTTTGTCTTGGGTTTAATTATGTGGAGCAATGAACAGTCGTATTCTTCAGTTTATCTCAAAGCCTTCATGTGGGTGGGTTTTTTTCTCTTTCTTTCACCTGATTCTGGAGAGGGCTGGCCGTGGGGGTCCCGTGAATCCTGCTTGTGTTGGCACCTAAAGGGGCTCCTGCAGCCAGGTGGGTCAGACCCCAAGGTCTCGGCCCGCTCGCGGAGAAGAGGAAGGGAGGTGACGACAGTGCAGTCGGGGGAACGAGAAACACGGTGCCTCACCACCTGCCCCCCCACAGAGCAGCAGGCCAAGCCTTAACAAAAGCTGTAGTTCGCGCAGTGGGGGGTCCACTGGCGCCGGCTGGGTTTGCCCCAGGGTGCCGCTCGCAGAGGCCTCACTGGGAGCCAGCCGCAGGGCCCTTGAGTGGTGCGCTGAGCATCACCAGCAGCTGGTCCACCCATCACTGAAAGGGCATCAGTCTGAGGCGGCTCCTTCCCCACTGCAGTTTTTACATTTAGTGCAAGACCACATACTGTATACAGTAACTTTGCACATGGTCATTGCCATATACACTGTACATATAATGCATGTATGATATACTGTACATGTACCGTATGTAATACGTATATATGGCATAATGTAGCCAATTCTATACTGTATATAAGCAACATATCCATTGTAGATCTCTATATATAATATTAGCATTATAACACTGCATTTACATATTCCAAGAGATGTGAGAAGCGCAGGTGGTCCCAAAGGGTCACAGAGCTCTTTGGATGTAAACTCAGGCCGCCTGGATATGAGCAGAGTTGGGACCCATGACATCATTACAATTACAGTGCAACTGCGTGGTCAAGAGTGTAAGTAATCCATTGCAGTCTCGTTATGCTTTACCTTTTTTCCTCTTTTATTATTTTTATTAATTATTCGGGGTTAGGGACCAGAAGGTTGTGAGGTATACAGAGGAGTAAGAGTGATGTGCAAATGGAGAGTTTGGGACTGTAAGAGTGTAAACTGTGCCCACGTGTCTTAAAGCAGGAGGCCTTTTCAAATTAGTGGGATGGAGTCAGAAAAGGGACAATAAACTGTGTTTCTCTTGTTGTGAAGGAAAAACAATACAAGGACTCCTAAGTCCAGGTAAAGTTTCTAATAATACATTTAATGTATTAATGTATTTGATGTATGTTGTTGTGCATAATTTTGTCAGTAACTATTTTGCTAATTCTGCACTTCAATGAAAAGTAGAAAGAATAAAACAGGGTTTTGACTATTGAGACGTCTTTAGGATGTGTTAAGTATTGTAGAATATGGGTTGCATTTTTATCCACACAGTTCTTTAGTTTCTGAAAGTCCTCTTGCATATGAAAACAGCTCTTATACCATCCTTATCTCGTTCTCTGCCTAGAACTGGGCACATCTATTGCTTTGCGTTGCTTTGTACACCTGACAGCCACATCTGGCTAAAATACTGCATTTTGTGCTCCCCAGTCCTGTTCAGAAGCAAAGCAAGAGACCCACACTCACAAGTCACAGTGCTTAGTGTTTCTTGGCTTATAGGTGAAATACCTTGTGTTATGCATACATTGCGAATTATGAAATAAAAAGTGTGTAGAGGGTTTTTTGTAATGTTTTTGTGCTGTCAGTTTTGCTGATCTCAAATCAAGAATTAGCAGTGAGACTGGTTGTAAGACTTCTTGTTTTCATGCTCTCAGACAAACTAAAATCATAATTATTATATATTATTATTGCTCTGCATCTGCTTATATAGTGTTTGATGAAATCTGTTTTTCATTTTAAATAATTAAATATGTTTATTTTCACATAATTGTTCCCAATAATTGTTTGGAAGGCAGTGGTCTTCAATACTGTATTTACTGTGCTTTGACAGCCTCTTAGTTGGGATAAAACACAAATCAAATGTCCCACCTGTTGCTGTACAACATGTATGTTTTCCATCAATGATCTGTTTGCAGGCTTGTCTGAGAACTGGTTCGGAAACCTTTATGGCACTTGGTGTTTTTGTTCAGTTTTGCAAATGTAACTTGGCGGATGTCTGCAGACCTGACTGTTTCGCTGATATAATAGAAACATGTACCGTATTTATTTCTGCCCTTATTTTCCACACTCTCTGCACAAAGGCTTATAGGCTCTGGAGAAAGCGTTCTATGGCAGCTCCATGGACCTAGGGAAAAATGTGATGAGTTCTTTTTTCATTTAAATATATTGAAGAAATATACTGCCGGGTATATTTGATGCTGCTCCTCTTTCACAACTCATTTGAAGTACAGTACTCAATTTGTTTAGGTATACCTCATCCCTAGATAATGCCTTCAGTCCTTGGCTATCGTCTTCAGTATTAAACCTTACACAATGCCAAATTCAAATCTTTATTCCCTTTGAATTTAGCTGGGAATTTAGCTGGTGTTTTGAATAGATGACATTTTCTCTTCATTCCTCAGTTCCCTTGTGCTTGACTGGGTGTCTAATGCCATTTGATCACCTCTGATCAGTTATTTACCATTATGGCTGAATTAAATGTAGAAAAGAGTTCATCGTTCCTTCAAGAATTATGGAACTTAGGTTGCCTGATTTGGCTCTTATTTAAATCTGATTTTGGTTACATTTTAGGAACAGGGTAAGGCAGAACAGAATATCTTGAAAACAACTCAGTGAGCTCATGTGAAAGATACAGTATGCATGCTGTGGTTAATTCTTCATTTGTATTGAAATAATCTGTGCATAATGAGGTGTGAACTCTTATCATACACGTGTGCAGTGCTATAGAATTTTAAAATCACTGTAGATTTTTTTTTTTCAAATCATGCAGAGGTGAGATTGCCCTTTTCAGCAGGATTCAACATTGTCATTTTGATTTCAAGCTACTGTAGGAAATTGCATTTCCTTTTTCCAGGCACTTTTTCAACTAAGTTTCATTTGTACCTACACTGTGGAAAACGTGGGCAGATGACATTTATTTTCAGGTAGATGGGATGTACCTTTATATCATAACAGCTTTGGATTCTTGTTTTCTTTCCTCCAGTCTCTTCACTAATGCACTTACTGTCCTTGGGATTCTGTAAGGAATGAGCATGGGGTAAAATTACAGCATAGCTTTAATTGATAAAGGGGCCTCTCATTCATCTGTGTGCATTCCAGATGTGTTTAATTAACAACTGAAGAACACCATCTGAGTAAAATAATATTCATTTTGTTATACACTTCACAAAACACAGTTTCCTTCTATATCTAGTTTCCTTCTTCGAACTTGTGACCCCCTGTGAATTTAAACTAGCCCCCTGACAAAGACACGATTCTGTTTCCTGGGGGAGGGATCCATTATTTGGAAGACCATCAGGTTGGAGCCAAACTAACATTTTTGCTATTTAATTTTGTTTGCACCATTAAGTGCAATAAGTGGTCAGTGAAGTGCTTGAACAGCCAAGAGGCTCCGTCACGTAGGTTCATCCTCACCATCCCCGGCAGTGACCTGGGGCCGCGGTCATTAGAAATGACTGTTGCACTGTCTGTGTCCGCTGTTCTGGACACAGGCCTCCTCTGTCAGCAGTCACATGGTAGGCTGTGTGTGCTCTTTGCTGCTGGTCTCTGTCTTCCTTTGACTACGCGATTGCCTCTTATATCGAATTGATTGGTACAAATTACCACCTTTTCGTGCTTGGGGATGTCCAAGGAGCTCTTGACACACTCATGGCTGATGCTCTGTCCCTTCAGCCACTCATTAATGCGTTGAGCATTAGTACAGCTATTCTAAGAATTCAGTTTTTGTTATTATTAAATTCAACTGAGCATTAAAAAATTCCCCATTAGGCCATTATGTGTTGTAACTTGAAAATTAATTATCTGTCGGCCTTCTTTCATCAGTGATCTAGGACACTGATTAGTTTAATGTGGTGTTAAAGAACATTTCATCTGTACTCATGTATGGTGCACATTTGTTTTCTTCCTCCTCTTATCACAGGGAGTTCATTTTAAAAAGTCTTGCACAGCCGACCCTTAGTTCATGTATCATATCCTCAGGAGTTGCAGATTTCATGTCTGTTCTGGTGTGGTGGTGTGCATCAAGCCAGAAAACCATGCTCGTACTTCAGAGTTTCACGCCAGCACAATTAATAGTACATTTCAGCTTACCAAAATTAAATCGTTTAAAATAAAAAAGGTTTGTAAGAAATCTGCGTAGGCCTGTGCAGTTCAGCCGTGTGAAGAATTTTGGTTTTTGGCTTCTTAAGGCAGTAAAAGTAAGGACTGCACTGCCACCACCCATACAAGCGTGGCTCCTGTGCCAACCCTGAGAGTCTCACTGTGACGCCACTGCTCTAAGTGATGGCGGCTCTTGAGTAGCTGTTTTTCTGCATCCTCTATTGTAGTTTCCCTTTGCACATCAAAAGCATTTGTAATAAGATTTGCTACATTTACCTCTGGAAATTCTTTAGACAATCACAAAGAGTTAAACACATGGATGACGTTTTGACCCAGATTCTTATGAAAGGCAATAAAATTCAAAAGAAATCCACAGCCTGTTGTAGGAAAACTAGCTGCTGTTTACCTTTGTTTGTTTTAAGTCTTTTGCTATTTGGTTTTAAATCTCTTTCAAGAATTCAACATGACAGTTTGTCTACTTATGTTGTCTCTTTACTGTTGGCAGTATGTCAGGGATAAGGTTTAATCATTTTAGAGCACAGCAAAAACTGACGTTTTAAAAGTAATTGAGTTCGGGAAAGGATGAAGCTGGTTTGTTTTTAAATAGGCATTTTTAGAATATATATCTCTCTGCAAATAGTGAAGTGTGTTTAATGTATTTTCAAAGAAAATGACCAGTTTAGAAATAACACTGTGGATTGTTTGCAAAGATCTGTATTGGACACTATTCCAATTTAGGATTTGTATATATCAGTGAAATATAGCCAGATATGGTAACCTCGATGTCATGTCACAGGTCGTGACTGGAATATTGTGACCGTGCTGATAGTCTGTTGTCTGTGTGCTTGTTTGTTTCAGGCTATTGACAAGTACTGCCGGGTCAGCGGAGGATTCTCCGGAATCAAAGATGTTTACTCTTCCACTCCAGCGTATGACGACGTTCAACAGAGCTTCTTCCTGGCGGAAACACTGAAGTGAGTTTTCCCTGGTCCCAGGTGGCAGTGCTGAGTTTTACTACTGGGCTCCTGTGCTGACGGGCTGCTCCTGTCTGGCCAGTGCAGGCCGGAATGTGCCGGTGTGTTTCAGTGGCTTCAATGGGGAGCCCCTCAATTTTGAAATGCATAGGGTAGATAAAAGAGAGGCAAAAGTGTGGATTGAGTGTTTTCATTGTAGCATTTGTTTTGTTGATGTGTTTTTTCTGAGGCTGCATCACTTTATCCTTGTAAAGGGTAGCACGGCTTGTGTTTTATTAATGTGAACTTTTGAGGTGAAACACTTAAAACTTTCAACTACAATAACCTTTAGATGTTTATTTCTTTTTTAAAAAGTCAGCATTTCACTTTGTTAACTGGGGTAAGTGTCAGTTGTTATTTTTCAGTTTCAGTTGGTGTTTTTTCCCCAACACACTTTCCCCTTCAATCAAATCCAGTTCCAGGTCTGTATTTTAAACAATACATGCCTTACTAGATGACTACTTTTAAAATGTCTTGGGGATTTAAAAGCCCCAACCCACCTCAATCAGGTTTGTTCCTGGATTTTTGTTTTTCAGAAGAAAAGATTTCAGAAATGTCACCCATTCATAAAAGGCCTTGCACGTTTTCCAGCTGTCAGCTGATTGCCTTGACATTTTTTTAAGGGGACAGGATGTTCATTGTGACACATTAGGGTTCAGAAACAAAACCCAGAAATAAAGATATGCGAGAAAATTACATAAAACTTCACATATCTTCATGTTCACTAAAAATATAAAAATTGGAGACAAATGAGTGTGACAAAGCACTTCAAGCATTTGCTGCCCTCTGTAGGCCTGGTTGAGGAGACGTCATTTCGAAGGAGTCTTGCAGGTTTTCAGCTTCTGTCCCAGGCCTGGTGGTAAATGGTGACACAAGTATTACTCAGCAGTGTGTCTGCTCTGGGAATGCTGAACCTGAGATCTTTTCATGTTTTATGACTGCGATAGTATAGCAATTAGCTACCATAATTACAGAAACTTTTTATTTTATGTTTTCATTGCAGGTTGTTTCTTTTAGAAAGGATCCTCTATCCGTTTTAGGTCAATTGTTAGTAAATGAAGCTTAGAATTTAGTCAATGATCATTTTAAATTTTATAAGGTGAAATATATGATATTTGCTGAAAATCAAAATTAATTGAAAATCCCTTAAATACTGTGAAAATAATCTTAATGGCCTTCAAGACATAATTGACATTGAAAACTTGAAAATAGTCTGAATGCTGTTTCCAGAATGTCAGTGGACTCCATGTGTCCAGTAGTGATTGTAAAGGACTCTGTAAGACATGAAGGAGACATGAAAGCACTAGTTCACGGTGTCTGTTTGATTTGTGTCAGCTAGGATACCTTCTGTGCTCCCGGTTATGCTGTCTCTGTAAGACAGTAACAGAATATCTTCTCTTCCTTTCTGGCTTCAGGTATCTGTACCTCCTGTTCTCCAGCGACGACCTGTTACCTTTCGAGAACTGGGTCTTCAACACAGAGGCTCACCCCTTGCCTATACTGCACTTGGGAAACACAAGCCTGACAGGCAGCCAGCCCCTGCGATAGGACTTGCTGCTGTAGTGTTTGCAAGAGGACCACCCTTGGCCATTAAAGTGATGCAAAAACTAAAAAAAACAACAGAATAAAGTCTATGAAACTCTTTACAAAGGGACTGCAGGATTCTGTAGGGCGAAGATCTTAATTTTTCATGTCCTCCAGATTGGCATTCAGGGTCAGAGCAGCTGCATTTGACAAATTCCATTTTTTAAACCTGACCAAACTTTTTAAGGACAACAGCGGGTGTTGTTAATGGATGTGGATTTGTTTCCTCCCTTCCAGCTCCTGAACAAGGATTCTGTGACGTTTATTGATGTTTTTTGAATGCCTACCGGAACACGTGAATAGAAACAAACAGGGTCATTTTTACTCTCTGTGTCCGAGTAGCCTGGCATGGGGCAGCGCTGACTAAACCTATTTTTAGTGTCACTTCGGTGGGAGCAGAGGTCAGAGATTTTTTTTTCCAGTATTCTTCGTAGTCAGTCGAGATTAAAATAGAGCTGAACAACCTGAACCAGTACAGTAGCATCTTAGCATTGTCGTACACTGCACTTCTACAGTTTCTTTTTATTCTGAAGAACAACATAAAACGAACGCAAATGACCATCTAATGAGCCTGGCCGTCACATGGCAACTACTGTACAGTTGCATTATTAATTTATTTTCCATATCTTCATGGCTGATCTTGTTACCCCCTCATTCTTCCCTGGAATGAAAACGGAGAGAAACGCAGCTTCTTTGTCCTGGTTATCCCGGGCCTTTGTGTTCGGACTGGAGACATTGTTCCACTTCCCCTTTGCAGTCATGAAGTTTGTGCTGATCGTGACGCTCTTCCTGATCTGCAGCTGTGTTGGGAACGAGAGCCCAGCTCGGAACTTTTCTCCCTCTGCGCTGGCTCCAGAAGGCATGCTGGGTAATTGTCCGCCGGGAGGAAGACTTATCTGAACGCCACTGGCCGCCATCAAAGTTGTTCTGCAACTTTTCCCTCTTTTGTCCATTCTATGGTCATTTTTAAATTTGCTCTGCTTTTATCTGAAGAAAAAAAGGTTTTTATCCCTCTGTTGGAAATTTTACGTGTTATTATGTTGACAAATAAAAAGGAATGTTCAAGAAGGTGGTCTGTTCACTATGCGTATGGAAAGATGGAGCATGAAAGTGCTCAGCTTTCAGCAGCTTTTAAATAAATATTTCACAAAGCAGAACAGCTGGTTAAGTCTGTGTAGCTGCAGCTTGATATACAGTATATGTTCTTCAGAATCATGTCAACTAGTCTGGACACTAGCCTCTTGTGTAATTACAATGTTTGATTAATTAAAAATACCAATGTACTGTAGATGCAAAGGAAATGAAAAAACTGCCGAAGTACGAGCTGCAAACCTGTACACCTGCATTGTCCGGAATGAGTGTTCTCTACTGTGTTATACTCAGACAGAGCCTGTCCTGGGAATCGTGTTGTAAAGACAGCTAGTCTTTATGGCTTTTTCTGTGAGCCTTTTTAGGCTCTCCCCAATACACACAAGGCATTGCCACTGAACTGAGCTCACTCTTGCAATAGTCCATGCATTACACATACAGCCTGACATGACATCTTCTAAGATGGAAGTACCAAACAGTTGAGATACAGAAGTGAAACATACAATGACATCATCTAGATCGGTGCTAAAGGATTTAAGACCTCATTTCTCATTTGCCAACATCTTACACTAGTTGAACTGGTCACTGTGGTGGCTCTGGGACTCAGGATCTGCGCCTGTGACTGGAAGGTTGCTGGTTCGTATCCCACGGCCAGCAGAGGAATCCTACTCTGTTGGGCCCCTGAGCAAGGCCCTTAACCCCAGCTGCTGCAGGGGCGCTGTACAATGGCTGACCCTGCGCTCTGACCCCAAGCTTCTCTCCCTGTCTGTGTGTCTCATGGAGAACAAGTTGGGGAATGCGAAAAGACACATTCCTAATACAAGAAACTGTATATGGCTGATAAAGTGATCTTATCTTATCTGAGCCAGAGACACTGTACTCTGATCACATTATTCCAGGGCTAATAACATGGTTATACCAGAATACCAAGTGCTTTAATGCTGGACTGCATTTTACTTCAGCTCAGACTGAATGTGGAACCCTGTTGTTCACCTCTTCCTCCAGTCAGGTCGTTCGGGAAGTAGTTCAGCATCAACAAATGTTAGATTTCTGTTGCCCTTTGTGGTGGTTAACATTGCCTACTTCCTGAATTGAATCTCAATGTAATTGACCTGCTCTGTTGTAGAATCCAGTGAACAATTAAGTTACAAAAATTACTACCGAATTTAAAATAAAACACAGGAGCTGCTGCAGTACCCAGGTGTGCCAATGAATGTCAGTGCTACAACATGCAGTGGTGAAAAAGTAAGTACACCCCCTTATGATTTTATGGTTTATCATACTTGCATACAGTATATTTGGCCTGCACCAAGTCCTAGTCCTCACCAAGTCCTCATAGTAGATAAAACAAACCTCATTTGACAAATAACACTAAAATTCTACTTTGTCAATACAAAAGCAGCCAGCATTCAATGTTTGTGTGATTGTTCTACCATCTCGGTTAAGAGGGTGTGCAGAGTCAGGTGTACGAAAACATGCACACCTGCGTAGTTGATCTTCAGGAAGTGATTCCACCTGTATGTGCAATGAGAAACTTTGTCAGTTTAGTCTTATGCACTCACGTTTGTGATGCCCAGATCAAAAGAAATCTGTGACAGTCTTGCAGAAAACATTTTTGCTGCTCATCCGTCTGGGAAGGGTTTGTAAGCCATTTCCAAACAACATGAAGTTCATTCCTCAGTAAAAAAAAATGGAGAAAACTCGAGACCCAGGAGTGTCATTCTCTGCCAAATTCTCTCCAAGATCTGACAGTATGATGCTGAATAAGACTGAATAAGAATAGTTTTCATTGAAGGAGAGCCAGGAGACATCCCCTGCTCTCCAAGAAGAACATGGCTGCATAGCTTAAGTCTGCAAAACAGAGCTTGAATGAAAACCAAGAAATTTTGTGCTGTGGAGAGATGAGTCAAGTGGAGTTGTCTGGCCATAATGCAAAACATCATATTTAGTGAAAAACGAAATGCTGCTTTTCAAACGAAATGCTGCCTCATACCAGCCTTCGAGCATGGTGGTAAGGGATTGTTTGAGCTTGCTTTGTTGCCTCAGGACCCCGGCACCTTGCTGTCACTGAGTCTACCATGAATCTCTCACTATAGCACAGTATTCTAGAGGACAATGTATCCCACAGCTAAAGATCATGCAACAGTGATCCAAAACACACAAATCTACAACACAATGGCTCAAAAACCCGAAATTCAGGACTGTGGGATGGCCAAGTCAACGTCCAGACCTAAACCCCATAGAGATGCTGTGGCAGGACCTAAAGAGAGCTGTGCATACAAGAAAGCCCTACAACATCACTGAGCTGAGCAGTTCTGTAAGGAGGAGTGGCCCAGAATTCCTCCCAGGCCATGACAGAGTGATCATCTACCTATGCAAGTGCTGAACAGCTCATTGTATGAAATTGCCATAAACCAGTTTGATGTAGCCTGTCAACCCTAATGTGCATGTCTTTGGAAAGTGTTAGGAAACCAAAGAACCTGGACAGAGAGGGAACATGCAGACTCCACACAGACAGCAGCACAGTCAAGAATTGAGTCCTGGAGCTGTAATATTGCCGTGCCTTTTGGTAAATATAGGTATGCCGGGCCTTCTGGCGGGGTCCGTTAAGGAAGCCACAGCCGGAGAGAATTCAATGAGACCTGGGCATTGCTCTTTAAACAGCCTGGCTGACGAGTATGAAGGGACTCCTGCTCTCTCAGACCGCAGGGTGACTGCAGTGCTCTCTCAGGGAGCCAGAGGAAGGGGAATCGTCGGTGGAGAAGTCTCCTGAACAGGGCGTGAAAGAGAGAAATCCGTGTGCCCTCTGTGTCTGGGAACTGACAGAGAAAAAGAAGAACAAAGAGTGTCGAACAGGACCTGTGACTGAAGGGAGAACGAGCTTGCCCGGTGCGCATGGGCTGGGACCTGTCTGTTACACCACATTATTGTTTAGATTTGTTCTGTTACAGATTTAGAATTCCTACAATTTGTAGGGCAACACCCTGGAACCAGTGTTTAGTGTTTCAATCACTTTTCATTTTAAGTACAGGTATTACAGAGATCTACAGTGCTGACTCCACATTTCATTGCTAGTATTCTGCTCATCTTGCCAGAGGCTAAAAATACCCTGTCCCTTAACCAAGAATGAAGTTGATCTTGGCTTTTGAAATTGCTCTATATTAAGACCTG